TCTCTCTCTCTCTCTCTCTCTCCCTCTCTCTCTCTCTCTCTCTCTCCCTCTCTCCCTCTCCCCCCAACGGGCAGCAGCAATTGCTCGGGCCTGTGCGAAACCCGCCACCTCAAAAACCTGCAGTGTCTTGTGTCCGGACCTCTAGGCCATGTCTGGTGGTGTGAAACGACACTAAGAAATCACCCCCTTATTTTTCGAGGGGCGGCCAGGACCCCATAAATGTCCTGGGCCGCCCCATTGTTTTATTTTTATTTTTGGCCCAGGGGCCACCGTCCGGACATGAGGACTGGACACCGGACACCGGACTGTCTGGAACCCGGTCCGGACGTCCGGACGGATACCATGGCATACGGGCACTTGCATTAGAGTGCGGCAGTGCTGCGCGAACGTGCGCTCGTGTGCTGCTGCGCTAGCGCTGGTGTGTGCGTGTGCGGTCGTGCAAGAAGCAGGGCGCTGCAAGAGGCAGCGCCATAGCCCAGCCTTCATAGCCAGGCTGGGATTGGGTGTGTAGCTGGCGGGGTGGTGGTGGTCTTCGTGTATGAGGAAGAAGACATGGGTGAAGAAGACGAGGTAGAGGGAGAGAGATGAGGTTGAGGATGTGAGGGCACGTACCTGGTTTGGCGATGGTCTACAGGGTCAACATCGTCATGTACTTCGGCTGTTGCTGCTGACGTCAACAGGTTGCATTCTTAATTCGTAGTCTGGGTAGCAGCTGTGTGATCGTAGTCTGGGTGCTGAAGGGCTCTGGATACATATGTTGGTGGTGGCGAGAGTATGCTCTCATTGACGTTCAGATTCGGTGCTTTGGTTCTTCGTTGGCGGAATATCAGTCAGTGCATATCTGCGTTCTGGACAGTTATCGACTTTCTGCCTTTCAGTGTGGTTTTGCATTCAGGAATTCTGTGATTTCGCTATCGCTCATTTTCCTTGCATTTACCAAATTAAAAATAATAAATAAATAAATAAATAAATTTAATAAATATTAAATAAACATTTGCAAGGAAGATGAGCAATAGCGAACTTCAGCAATCAAACAGCATCATACAGATGAGTCCAGATAGTCGCGACCTCGAACCAACAGCAGAATTGCATCACGAGATTCACCAAATAAGAACACACCAAGAGTTCATAATTGACAATGCTGAAATAGTCCCATCATCATCAACGAAGAACCAGAATTGATATCCTATCTGGCGCTCGGCGCCCAGACTACATGTGCCAGATCCTATCTAGCCTATACTACGAAGCCGAAAGATGGCGTCAACAGCATTCCTGAAGTACGAGCATATGGCGACCAATGTCGCACGCTTCCCGCACCAGGTATGTCTCGCGCTACACTCACAACCTCGTTCCACAACTCACAGATGCCACTAGCACCCAAGGACCACCCTGCGCCTCACCCAGCTTACAGCAGCGCAGCTCGGCTATGGCTGCATGCTCCTTCCCTGCTCGCCCGTGAGAGCGTAGGCGCCAGCCAGCAAATAGTGCAGCAGCGCTTGCGCAGCATGCAGCCAGCACCCGAATATACCGCCTCATTGATGATGTTCTTTCATGGGGGCAATTACCTCCTCCTTCAGAGCACTATGGGCTTGAGTGGAAGGAAACTACGGCTACAGATGGCTCGTGTACCTTTTTAGGTATGCATCTACGAGTACGTTCTGATGGTTCGCTTCGCATGAGCGTGTTTGATAAAGCGGCTGCTTGGGATTTCCCTGTTATTCGCTATCCAAGTGCTACCTCCAACATCCCTTCCCATCAACCGGCAGGTG